GGTAAGAAAAACTAATAGGAAATTAATGAGTCGAAAAGAATCCCCTTTATTCTGAGAACCAATTTTCTTTTTATTTGCAAGGCAATTAGTGAGATAACTACTATCATATGTTTATTTAACACTTCACTATCAATCACAATTTTCATCATCAGTACTGTCATCACTGTCTCCATCATTATCATCTATTAATTTTCGGCTATTTCAGGATTGGAACAGTTGGTTCCAAAACAATTTGTATATGCAATTGTGCATGTAATTCCATGCTTAATGCACCCACAAGATCTGCATTGTCGATAATCGGATTTTGTCGCCTAATTGTTATGCATTATCCGCAGTCGCATGTGGCCAAGAGATTCTTTTGAAAATCCATGATCCATGAAATATTCTTCGGTTTTAAGGAATATTTCTTTGATTTAACGAAATATGCCTCTTGGGAACGGATTGTCCAGGATTTCTCCAATTCTACAACAATTTTTCTCAGTGATAGACCAGCTAAAATTAATGGATATTTTCCAGTGTCAGATTCGGAATCTCCGATCCCGAAAACCCCCGAGTTGAAATTTAGAAGGCAATTACTCAGCTATTCGATGTTTTACAGAAGGCCCCCCCTTGCTCCCCTGAGAGCCTCCAGGGGCGTCAGGCATACTTTTCAGTGTCAGAATCGAAATCCCCGACCCCAAAAACCTCCTAGTGGGGATTTAGAAGGCAATTAGCTATTCAATGTTTTACAGAAGGCCCCCCTTGCCCCCATGGGGGGTCCAGGGCCGTCGGGCATATTTTCCAGGGACAGATTCGGAATCTCCGACCGCGAAAACCCGTGTACACAAATTTCTACAACTTTTAGTCAATTTTTACCATTTTTATAAAATTCGGAAAAATTGATGCACTCCAAGATGCAGTTTATGCACCCGCAATGCAGTTTCAATCCAGCTCCAAAGTGTAATAGATAGACTTTTTTCCTGATATTTTTCCGAACACAATGCCGAAAACCGGAACTCGATCGGTTCATCAGAAAAAAATCTCCGTATTCTGGGTGATTTTGGTCTAACTTGCCTGGACTATTACAGACTTAGCAATCAATAGAACATGATAAATAGCGACGTAGGTACTTAAGTATCTTCTTTGATGTTTCAATTATCTAAAGGAGAAACAGGACCCTTTCGTCCAAAGCGAGAATTGTCAGGATTTAGTATTTTTGTTTTCGTATTTTTTAAACCCTCCTATTCATCTTCCAAACTTGTATCTTGTAAATTCTTTCAGTTCTTTCAGCAATACCTGTCCAGCTACATTTTAAAATCTGTTACAATTATTTTATGTAAGTAATTGATTTGTGATATTCTTTAACTTCTTCCTTGAAATTTACATGGTCATGATTAATAACCACGTACATTCGTTATGTCCCTCATCAACGTTGTTAGTTAAATAAAAAAATAGCGCGCCTTAAACAATTGGTTTTTGTAAAAATTTATTTAATTAACAGTTAAGTAAAATTTTATTACATTTCATAATCCATGAATGGGACATAATCGGAGGGGTTGAGCAGGGCAAATGTGATAAGGTTCCAAGTAGAGCAGAATAGAAAAAAATAAGATTTGATCCATTTTCAATGAATGCGACATATTTCGGTGGAAGTTCTGAAATAATTGTATATAATTATTTTTTTAATGTGTACCTATATCGTTTGAAACTGATAATCGTTAATGTGGAATGTTGAATATAATTCTAAGAAAATTCATGCGTGTAATAAATAAATCATAACGGCGTGCGGCGTTAAAATGGGAATTAACAAAGATAATTGCAAGACATTGTGTGACGCACTCCAAAATATCCAAAGCTTTTGTTCAATGCTTAGCTTAAATCAACTAATTACTTCTGTCAAAATTCTTTAAAAAAACGCCAAAATTTAATAGTAGTAGTCTAACCAAATTTCACTTTAAATGTAAAAAAAATAAATGCGTAAGCGGGGATGGTGGAGGTTTGATTTGAGGGGTTGAAAAAGGGTGAAGAATGATATTACTGCGATTCTCGGGAATGTTGACGTCAAGAAAAGTATCCAATACAAAAGTTATAGATCATGCGAAAATTACAACGTTTGTAGAGGTCACTTTTTTACATAACCTCTAGATTTTCGAGAAAAATGTTTTTTTTGTCTTTTCGTGTTTTGTTTTTCATATTCGCAAAAATAATGTAATTTTGACGAAACTTGATGAAAGTAGGTATACCTTTCTGTGACTTAAATAACCACAATTTTTGTCAGATAAAAAAAATCAAGAAGATATTACTTTTTTCCTGTCCGAAACACTATTTAAAATAAAAATCTACTTAAAAAAATCGTCGTACAGGTTTCTGCCTGTGCTCATTTAACATACTTTTTGATAAAATAAAAAAAATTTATCACAATTCAAAAACATGCTCAAAAATGCAAAAAATAACTTCAGTAATGAATTTTTCAGTAACTGTTATTAATTTATTTAAATTTAAAAAAAAAATAGAAAAATTGATTACACCATTCAAACCTGAAAAACGATAAAATCGATAACTGCATTTTCCAAAAAATCTCAAAAACTAACACGTATTTTCGATTTCTCATCAAATTATGCAACTTTGCTCCAATTTCAGCATTATTTTTTCAGATTTCTTCTACTTCGGACACTTTTTCCGAGGTAGTAATATATTCATATTCTAACACAAAAATCAGGCCCATGAAATACATTTTCATTATTTCTAAAATTAAATAATTAGTTCAGAAGGCCTTCAAAGGCTTACAAATTGATACTTCGATTGTTTCGATATCTTAAAAATTGACCCTGTACATTTATACTTAAATATATTTTCCATATTCCAAAAAAAAATTGTTATATACTTATATAGAGTTTCAAAATATCGAAAGCACAATGAAATTACAAAAGAAAACGTGAAAAGTTAATAAAAATGTTTTTTTTCTGGATCTAGCGATGACTTTCACACTTTTGCTTACACCGTTGGAAAGAGCGGAAAAAATAAGTTGACTTAAAAAAAACATCCCGGTAGCTGCTTTCTAAGTGTCACAATTTATTTGTTAAGTATGAATTTTGAGAAGCCGAGCGCAGCATGGGCACTATGACGTCATAGAGCTCCCCTCTCCTGACTACCGCTCAGGCGCGCATGATCATGCTGTTTTTAACGAACGTTTACTTGGTCACTTTTTGGTCGAATCCATTAAAAAAAAAATCAGCGTATAAAGGAAGTCTTCTACTTTACAACGGGACCAAGTTTATTACAAAATATTAAATAGAACAGGCAAAATACCGTTTAAAGAAAAAAAAATAATTATTATCTCAGTTTCTATTGGTCGGATCGTGACGTTTTTTTCTTAATTCATGTTTTTTAAGCATTGTTTGATGCAATTGGCTTGAAATCTGTATATTAAAAAATTGGCGAGATAAAGACCCTAGTTACCGTTTTGTTGTGGTTTTTTGTTAATAACTTTTTTATTTTGCAACTTAAAAATCTGAAATTTACAGAGACGCGAGATAATGTAATTACCTTTCGTTTCTTTTTTACCAAATTTCGATACCTTGATTTGGGCAGAAGATATACGCGCTCGCGTTTTCGACTTTATAATTTTGCAATAGACCGACATTTTGAAATTGGGGATCCGGATTGCGGGTATTTGTTGAGAGAACAGTTATCTTTTCCTGTAGTTTCATCCAATTTCAGTTAAATTCGTTCTTTTTATTTAATGCTGAAAATTTGTGAAATTTTTTTTCACCGCTAATTTTGCAATGAAAAAAAATTTTGCGAGCTTTCGCAGAAGCATATCCTTGTAGCAAATTTCCTCAGGAACAGAATCGATAAGTATACCTCATGAAAAATTGAAAAAAGCAATTATTTTTTTTTTTGTTATAAACAATATGACACTTGATCTCTACAAATACACAAATTTAGGCTTTTATTCTGTTTACTTTGTACTTAATTTTAAGCCCATAAAAATCGACGTAGGCCCGATTTTTGAAAAAATAACCTAATTCACCCGGACTATTAGCATAGTTTTTGGCCATATATTCATTATTAAAGATATATCACCAAGGCTTACATCACTATTGTTAAGAAAGCTATTTATTCAATTATACAAAAATATACAGGCTGTTCTGTCAAAAAAATATGTAAGCTAGTGCAACGTACAACTGTTTTTGAAGGTAGTTTTAAAATCACAAGAAAATTCTCTACATCTTTGGCCCATACAACTTTTTTCTAAATACGAAACCAACAAAGATATGGGAGGTAGTCTGTGATACGATTAGCATTGTACATAATTTTAGAAAAAAAAAATTACTAGGTAAAATAAAAAATTTGAAAATGCACAAAATATAGCCAGTTTATAAATTTCCTTGTTCCTAAAATAAAAGAAAACCGTTAAATGGGGTGTTTACATAAAAAAGTGTGCAGCGATTTGTCACTGAATGTTATTCTACAATGAAAGTATATCAGTTTCGCTAAAAACTCTTATATAATAATGATTTGATACGAAAATAAAACAATACAGGGCAAGTTTTTTTAAATTATTTAATTTTCTGTTTATATCTGAAGAGGTGGCAAATACTCCATGACTCACGTTTGTTTCAAAACATTATCGCATTGTGGATTATAAATGGGAAAATGTTCGTTTCATGACCGTTTCAATCGATTGTTTTGCGCTATAATGTATGAGGTAAGGAGAACTATGGACTACCCAGTAGGTCTTTCATAGGATTTGTCTATCTGTGGGTTTCCTTGAGAAATGCATTGACGATGGTTGTCCTGTCCTACCACAGGAAATATTGTGCCTTACGCTGCGTTTTTGTTTTAATCTAAGTTCAATAATTAATTAATCTTGCGGTTGTATGTTTTGACGGCGGTATTGCGCCTGCGGAATGTTTTTTTTCATAGAAATCAAATGAATCAATTCGTAACGCTCATAAGTTAGACATCTTAGGATGAGGCAAATACAGGTGATTATTTTGTTTATTTATTTATTGACGGGTTTCCCTGGGTATAAAAGCATTCGGTTCCTGGTAAGATTGCATTTTTAGAAAGGAAGAGGAAGTACGGTTACAAAACTACTACACCACAATTTTGGAAATGCGCTCAGTGCGAACAGGATGCGTTTGTAATCAGGGATTGCAATTAAAATAATTACAAATGATTGTTACTTTGACATATGTATTAATTAGAAAGTTTATTGAGGATAATCTTTGCTTGCTCATACGTTTTGGGTCTCTTATCACTGCGTTACTATTTTGTCAGGTAAGGCAACTGTCCTAGGATATTTCCCCTGGAAAAGTAAAAAGAAACAATACAGGTGTTCGCGTTTTGGTGTACTTATTTATATACCCTGGTCCATAGTTGCATACGTATAATTTTTGATATTTCATCCGCTCATTTGTTTCAAAAAAACTGTATCCACATCCCACATATATGGTGTCCGCCCAAATCAACTAGAAAGAAAGGTCGTAAAATAAAAGTGTTTATAAACATTTAGACGATTTTGTAATGTTAAGTAGACCATATGAATAATAAGCATTTTCATCCGTTGGAACTGCGAAACAGTATTAAAATTAATAATAAAAATTATTAAAATTTATTGAGAACCTCTTTAACATTGTGTAAACACTTGTAAATAGAGGCAGACGAGCTATCGATGAAGCCAGTGGTTCCAAAAATGTTTCTTTGTATTATTGTGGTAAGTCTAGTTATTAAAAATATTCTGTTTCTGTCAGCCACTTTTTTTTTCAAAAAAACAAATACATTACTCAACATAATTTGGTGCCATTGTCGTGCTACGGCTATGAAGAAAAAAAAAAATGTAAATAGAAACTTATTTTTGAAAATAACTTTCCAGAAATTCTTGGCCTAAAATATACAAAAAACTGATCGAGTAAGAGAAGTATTTATCCTCACTTTTTATGCAAATTTTGACCTACTCTGTAAAAATCTTCAACTACACTGCTCAAAATAATTAGAGGAACACTTATATAAATCTCAGTAACTTTTTTATTTGTAATACTATATAAATCTAATAATGCATATCTTAAAGACTAACATTTTGTTCGAATAAATTTACGAAAATAAAACAAATTTACATAATCACTCTTGAGACAACAGCGCCAATTCAGAAAAACTACAAGAAATAATGTGAAGAGTCTGTGATCCTATCTGTATAACATAAAGGTCCTGGTGAGATTTGGTTCACTAATATCGTGTATGTCTTCCATTAGCACGAATTACTGCTTGACACCTCCGTGGTAAGCTTCGGATGAGCCTTGAATCCCGTGATGTTGAAGGTTGTTCATGGTGATAATCGCAGTATGTGGCCTTGCGTTATCTTGCATAAACAGAAAATTTGGACCTATACCATAAGCGGCTGACATAACATGATCTTCTAGAATGAGATCAATGTACCGTTCAGCGGTTAGAGTCCCTGGAACTATGATAAGATCGGTTTTTTTCATCAAGACAAATTCCGCCCCAAACCATCACTGACCCACCACCAAATCTTTCGACTTCTTGTATGGTAACTGAAGAATGGCGTTTATGTGGACGTCGGTATACACGTACTCGACCATCACAACGACTTAAAAGAAATCGTGACTCATCTGTGAAGAGTACTTATCTCCAATACCGAAGTTGCGATGCCACATGCTCACTTGCAATATGTAAACGAGCCTTATGTGATACGGAGTTAAAATAGGTTTTCGCACGGGTCTTCTTGGTATCAAGTTTGCTTCTCTCAGTCTATTCTTAACTGTCTGATCAGAAATTTCCAACCCATGAGTCGTTCTGAGCCTACTTTGAAAGTCTTTTGCTGTTGATGTACGAGAACGCAAGGAGGATAGGACTAAAAACCTTTCCTGAATTCGGTTTGTTTTCCTCTTAGGACCTTGTCCAATGCGTCTTTTATATCCTTCGGTTTCTAAGTAACGATTCCACACGCGATGGATGACAAAAGGACTTACGTTAAAATCTCTTGCAAAATGTCGAATACTGGTGCCATACTCTATAGTAGCAACAACACGAACGACCTCAACTTCACTTAGATGCCTCATTTTTTACAATTTATGCTGAACTGTCAATATTGTTTACTATTCCAAGGCACAGCATATTTCTAAATTGAAATTTTGATTGTATGTTTCACTTTGTTTCTTGTAGTTTTTTTGAATTGGTACTATTGTCTCAAGAATGATTACGTAAATTTGTTTTATTTTTGTAAATTTATTCGAACAAAATGTTAGTCTTTAAGATATGTATTATTAGATTTATTATTTAGCTTTTACCCGCGGCTTCGCTCGCATTGAAGCCATTAAATAAGTATCAGAGATCAAGGGTATAGAAAATCTTTCGTAAAAAATAATTATTTTTTTTAATAAAAAGTATCCTATATTACTTCTAATACCCCCAAGAATATGTGTACAAAGTTTCATGATGATCGGTTTTATCTTAAAGAATATATGAACTTATTTTCTGATAGCCATCTATATAAAACTGCAATCGCTACAGTTAGTGCTGGGAGAGGCCTTTAGCTCGCAGAGTAGTTGTTTTCCATAATATCATTACTTAAACTTTCATTCGTACATTTTGTGTGAAAATGTTAAATCTTACTTGAGTGTAATGGCCAACGTCTTCATTGCGGTAACCAAAGGGACCGTAATTATATGATTTGTGTTCATCGAACCACATCTGGATCCCTGCTTCCCAGTTGGTTTTCGAACCGGATTGTGAAGATTTTTCCATATATAAATTTTGCCCAACGTACCACCTGAAAAAGGAGATACTTACTATAGGAAACGCTTTCTTTTATTTAGCTTTATTTACTACTTCCGGAAAGTAAAAGTTCTATTTCATATGAATAAAATCAAGCATCTCCTTCTGACATGAAGTAAATACCTCAACATTTTGGAAGTACCTCACGAACAGAGTTTAGTTGTGTTCAAATATTCAAGTGAAGTTGGATAACGAAATAAGAATATCTAAAAAGTTATTGAATATTTTGTTTAATACTGGACATTTGAGATGTCTTAAGAATCTTTTCTCAATGAATTTTCGGAGTACCTAAATCCCGACGATTCCAGTATTTGGGGCAATGTTTAGATACTGAAGTTATGTAAGTTTTGAACTAACACTTTTCCATGTGTGCATGCAAAAAAGTTTTAAATAAAATATATATATATTTTGCTCACGATCTCTAAATAGAAGAGTCAACGATTTCAGGGCTGGTTGACTTTTCCAGACATATCGCTCTCTTCTTCAGGATAATTTATAGATATAAAAATGTATTTGTTATACATATGTACTGCTGAAGTAATTGTTCTGTGATATTCCTGTCCTGATTGTTATGAACGAGTTGTTTTCAAATTCCATATAGTTTTTTGGATTCCATTGCCCTTTGTAGAGTCTTGATCAAGATCTTTTTTTTTTCTCTCACTAGAATTTTGGTGTTACAGGACTACTAAGTGTCTTGTCTGTGATCCACAACCGCTGATTTATCTACATTCAAGTGACTCTTAAAATAACAACGTAGATACGTTAGTAGTTGAAGATTAAAAGACAGATACAAGGCATTTAATGCACCTAAGCAAGCCATAATTCTGATGAGAGAGGAATTTTGTAACGACATATTTGTAACAATCAGGGACCGGAAGACCAGTGACTCCAAACTATGCACCAGAATGTCATGGTCCTGTCGATACACCAACTAATATCGGCCAGAAGATTTAATCTCCAGCCTACAGAGCTTCTTCTGATGAAGAGCGGTATGTCCCGGCGTGGCAATCAACCCTGAAACTATTGACATGGTACAGTTTTGTTATCGTTTGACCAATAGCAAGTCGTATACATTGATTTATGGAAGTAGAAAATTTGCTTTCTGGAAGTTAAGAAGATGGGAATTGAAGAGTTTGCTTTTACTCTGTGATTTTACTAACAGTAGACGCTTTTCCTATCTAGCTTTGAACAAGTGTACCTTTTTAATTCATACGAAACTTTATGTTAAATATGGGGAAATAATCACCTGCTATCTCTTACTTTCACATGAGCGTAGACGCAGGTGTCGGCAATATCTTGGGCCTTCCTTGCTAAGGAATCGTCCCATGTCTAAAAAAAGAAACACGCGATTCATTGCATTTAAATATTTAACCCTAAAAATATTGAAAAAAAATGTCAGACATTGATTTCCATACCAAGTTTTGGATGTTTTTGGCCCTGGGTTGCCCAGAAATTTTGCCAGTCGCTACCATCGCTCTGAGGTGGTTATGGTTGTTAACAATTATTTTTATGTCTTTTTCGGGAACTCCCGAGTCTAAAAAGGATACGAAGCTGAAAATATACGCATAAAAGTCCAGAACATTGTTTATAGTAACATCTATTTTCTTAAAGGGTATTATCATGATAGCTAGACTAAATTTAACCTAGTTCCTGTGTAAAGCTATAAATGCACCAAATAATTCTGGGATCAAAATATACAATTCGGGCAAATATACCATAGTCCAAAGTTCATTTCACTAAACAGAGGTAAAAATTCACTATATTTGTGTATCATTAAATAGCCAGTGGCGGAGATATTGGGAGATACTTACTCACTAACAATAAAAATCCCAGAATTTCGAGGTCACCAGTATTATGAAGATTTTACAAGATTATATGACTTAGTTATAAGTTATAACTAATTTAAAACTACTTTTCTCTCATTAAGCAAAACGATTCTCATAAAAATAACATTTGACTTATTGTTTTGGCGCAAGGGTTTTAAGGGGGGCGTTTGTATGCGCCTTTTTTTGACCAGCAATTTACAAAATTTAAGCAAGTTAGAAAAAATATCTCTTCACTGTACCAGCAACTTTCTTCAGGGTATAAGACAACTGACAATACACTGAAAATAAGAAACAAGCATACTTTTACCTTGTATGTTTATCTTACGTTTCCTGAACTTTGCGCACCTGTGAAACATACAGGAAATCGCGTACGGTGCTATAAACATAATCACACCCCGTAGAATGCTTTTAGGAATAACAACTACACAGCCACACACAAAAAAGTTGTCTGTACTTTTCATGCGACATGTTGTCCGTAGCATTTTTGCCTGTTGTCACAAATCCGGTGTCAGTATTGAGTTATCACATCACAGGGAGTTCCTAACCCCAAAAACAGGTAAAAAATTGCAAAAATTCACGAAAGTGCTAGGAAAAATACAAAAAAATATTTTTTCTATATTCAAATGTTCATTTATATTAGATTCGCGCCAAATTTGGTATGCGGAGGATTTCGGGGTCGCTGATCATGGATCCGAGGTCAATTTTGCAAAATTCAAGATGGCGGATCCAAGATGGCCGACCAAATTTTCAAAAAATAACATATTCGCGTCAAATTTGGTGTACGTGGGTTTTCGGGGTCGCTGATTACTAATTCGAGGTCAGAATTACGAAATTCAATTTGCAATATTTTTGTTTACTTTATAACTAGAGTATCCAATCATATTTTAACCTTATTCTTTTCGACTATATCTTGTTCTTTATTCTTAAAAACGAACTTTGCAAAATTGACCTCGGATCCGTGATCAGCGACTCCGAAAACCCCCGTATGCTAAATTTGGCGCGTATCTGTTATTTTTTGAAAATTCTTGATATCTGACTTTAATGGAACCGTTTTTTGAGGTTAGAAAAAGAACCATCAATTCTGATCGCGAATTCACGTTCGGCGGGTTCTTAACCATATATATCAATGACCATTTGAACTTGGAAAAAAAATTTGTATTTTTCCTAGCACTTTTTCGCGAATTTTTGCTATTTTTGACCTGTTTTTTGAAGGTAGGAAATTCCTGTGATTTGATAGCTCAATTCTGGCACCAGATTCGTGATCAGGAGGTAAAAATACTACGAATAACATATGTCGCATGGAAAGTACAGACAACTTTTTTTTTGTGTGGCTGTGTAATTTTTTATTCTTAATGATTGTACTGAGTTTGCTTACATTGAGTTTAAAACTGCATTTGCGACAGAAAACATCCTCAAAATTTTTATTGCGAAACGAATAGTTTTAGAGTTACTTTCTGATTATTCCAATTGTGTAGTAAGTATATTTTTGACAAAAAAATAATAAATAACTTGAAAATTACAAGTTTTACGATTAAAATGGAAGAGATCTTTTGTCTCCGAAATACTGATACAAATCAAATGAGCTTTGGTTAATACAATTCAATAAAAATTCACATAATTTTTACCTTTATTTAGTAAAATCCCCAGACCAAATTTCATTAATCTATATCATCATCTTTCGAAATATTTGCGTATTTATGATGTTTTCATTCAAATATCTAAGAACCGTATATTTGGCCCAATTACCCTTTTGACCTCATAGTGAATTTTTGTTAAAAAATGTCCACATACCAATAATCTTGTATTTGTCAGTACAGTGACCTATGACTGGACCCAGGAGAATGGTTCCAATACACAAATAAAACAGGAAATGCATTGGAATCATGGTTAACTCACTCTTAACTAATACATATTAACAAACAATTTTAAATATCCACGCACCTGCGGTCCTAATACGTGCCTAATTTGAAATATTCACTCATTTTTGTTCCGATAAAAAATTTAATGATTCAATTGTTGATCTGATGACAAATACGCATACATATTTGGAAAATGAAAACGCCTCCACTTACCTAGAATCGGATAACCCTTTCTGCAATAACCAGATTGGCTTAAATTAGTCGAAGAGATACTTAACAAGAACATTAAATACTGTATAATCATTTTTAAGCAATGGAATCCCGACCTCTTACCAGTTTTCAGTTTATTTGCTTCGCTGTTAGTGTGAAATTGCTGTTGTAGTCCTTATCAGGACTGTTTTTAATGATCTATAAAGATATTGTTGCTTATATATGATTAAGTAAGCAAAAAAAAAATAGAATTTATTATTAGTCCGGTCAAATTGGTCATAAAAATAGTGGTCAAATAACGAAAATGCCGACAGAGCTAAATTTTGGTGGAGACCTTGGGTACACCATTAGAAATAACGTGTCAAAAGTCCCCATCGATCCCATGTGCGCTAAAAAAGTCATTCGGGGTCAAAGGTCAAAATTTGAGGGTTTTTGGATTTTTTTCTAAAACGGTAAGTTTTATCAATGAAGTAGCTCTAACAAAAATTAAAGATCTTAAAATTATCTACAAAAATGGCACTTATACTTTTTTTCTAAGAATCACTATTCCTGAGATTTCGCGATTCTAAAAGTTGAAGGAGTCATATTCTACATGATATGCACATAATATGCCACGTATATGCATAGTCAGGCACTTAATACAAGTAAAAATGCCTATTTGTGTCTCTTATATGTATAAACTATACTATTCTGAGAATATACACTCAAAAAGAAACTCAGTCCCTCAGTCAATCCCGTCTATTGTAAAAAATTTTGTATAAAACACACGAAACAAGAAACAAGTACAACTATCTTGTCTTCCTCCAACATCGGCTTCTGCTAATCAACACTTGTACCGAGTATACTATCAACTTCAGACATGGCTAGGCAATCAACTGAACCCAGAAGACTGGGGTTGGAAATTAACAGATAATACTTTGGAACCGATTCAAACTTTACTTCCACCTGCTCCGGAAAAACTCCTAAACACTATTTTTTGCAATTGTAAAAAAGGTTGTAATGCTAAATGTGGCTGTAGAAGAGTAGGGTTACTGTGTTCTCCACCGTGTATTAATTGCCAAAGCCAGTCTTGCTCAAATGTCCAATTGAATACATCAACAGACGAAGATTCATGTGATTTCGATGAAGAGACAGCTGATTCATCTTCATTTGAACAATTTATGAACATCCAGCAAGAAGAAGAAATCGAAGGAGACATGACTGTTGAAGTCGACTCTGAAGAGTATGAATCAGATTAAAATATCAAAAGAAATCAGAACTACAGTTAGGGTCAATAACCAATATCAATATCAATAATTATCATGCAGTCAAAAGAGTATTGTCCCTGAAAATCCCGTCATAACAGTTCGTGGAGTAGGCCTACCGGGGAAACCACGTTAAAAAACGCGCCAAAGTACATTACCTCACAGGTGGTGTGGAAATGTGTGCATACCATGTAGAACGTAACTCCTTCAACTAATAGAATCGCGATATCTCAGGAATGGTGATTCTTAGAAAAAAAAGTATAGGAACCATTTTTGTAGATAATTTTAAGATCAATAATTTTTGTCGGAGCTACTTTTTTGACAAAACTTACCCTTTCAGAAAAAAATCCAAAAGACCTCAAATTTTGACTTTGACCCCGAATAACTTTTTTACCACACATGGAATCGATGGGGATTTTTGACACTTTATTTCTAATGGTGTACCCAAGGTCTCCACCAAATTTTAGCTCTGTCGGAATTTTCGTTATTTGAAATGTTTAATTTGACCGGATTATATTATTTAATTGGCAGTAACTGCTGTTTATGATTGAAAAAAGTCTATATAATTTTACCTATTCAAAATAGTTTCCTTATGCAAACCGTCATAAATAGGCCTGTCAGAGAGAGCTGCAGTTCAATGTCGTGCGAACTGGTCAACCGAGATATAAGCGAGCCGCTGTCTCAGAATGCTTTCCACGTTCACGTCACGCTAGTATACTGTTGTCTTTGTTTTCGTGCGGATGTTGCGGAATTAATTCCTATTCATTGGTGTTTATGGTGGTATATTGAATGTGTAGACAATTTAATTTGTTGCTTATATAAATAATCCGTACGCCTATGTCCCGCGGCTCAGTTCTGACAGCCTTATTCATAAATGATTACAAGCTACGTGACCATTAATTTCGTTTGGAACATTAATTTTATTTCTTTCACGATGGCAATTAAATTAAAACAATAAGATCAAGATTACATTAAAACACAACATTATGTTTCACCGGCTGTGATTGGTGTTATTTCACGAGATTATGTTCAACCAATCAACGATCGCGTTATCTCAAGCGTTGTAAACGAATCATTGATATTGGCGATGCCAAGATCTAAGGAATTTTAGCTTTATTTTTTAAATTTACATACATGATAGCTTCAGTAGCTGATATTTTTGTATATTAACATAAGTTTTCACATCCGTGGTCTCCTACTATGTATATAGTCCCACCTGGGACATTACCTCTGAAAATTGAAGATTTTTAATGAAAATATGTGTAATTCAAATAATAAGTTGATATACTTACGCAGGACCATAATTGCAAACATATAATTTGTCGTATCCATTTCCATTAGGATAGTAAGTGTAGCCACAACCCACATGTGTGGTATCAGCCCAGACTACCTAAAAATGATTTATTTTCTTTGTAATTTGGTAAGAATTTTTATACCTGTTTATAATCAAGGTAAGCTCTGCCAAAAAGTTACGTTTGATAATATCCCACTTCTGATTTTAAACTTACTTGAGTGTAATGTCCTGTTGCCATATCGAATACATATTTCGCCGAATAAGTGTATTTAGTGTATTCATCAAACCAATACTCTACGGCTGCATTCCAGTCAGCTCCCTTTTCAATTCCGATAGTAGGCTGGCGATAGAGATTTTGTCCCACTTGCCATCTACCTAAAAAAAATTAACAATCTTTCTTACTAACCTCGGTTTTATTTCTCTCTAAATAATGTCGACTTGATGAATCGCCTGCCATGGGTATAATGTATTTGTTTTTAACTTACTGTCATTTACTCGTTGGTGCTTGAACTCACAGCTGTTTGCAATATTTTGGGCTTGACCTGCTAAATAGTTGTCCCAAATCTAAAAGTATATTAAAAATAGGTTTGTGAAGCCTAGTTTTGGAAGTTACTAGACCAAGTAAGGAGAAAATCTCTATTAATCGTTATAGTTCTGTTTTACGTCTTTGATTTTTTAGATTCTTCTTTAATTTTTCATTTAATAACGGAATTTTTTGAATTACGCGCTTATGGGGGTATTTATTGATATGCGGTTGGCAGCATTGCGTTGCGCATAACCAGTCACATTTTTGGATTGTTGATACCTCATTTAGTTTTTGTGATATTGTTTTGCGTGAAACTGGAGCAAACTTTCAAGGGAACTTTCAACGTTTGAAACAAGCTTACGGAGATGATATTCTGGGTCGTACGCAATGGTTTCAAGATAAAAGTGATCGTTAATCAATTAAAGATGATCTTCGACAAAGAAGACCTTCGACTGAAGACTCCCGGGTTCGTAAAGTCAAAGATCTGGTGCGTACAAATCGCCGATTGGCTGTCAAAGAAATTGCAGAAGAGGTTAGCATCTCAATTGGGTCATGCCATGCAATTTTTTTGAAAAATTTAACATTCCTTGAGGTGCTTGATGACCGAACACAGAAAGAAAATGTGGACGTTTGTCGGCAACTCCTTGAACAATCCGATGACGATAAAACATTCATTCGAAGGATCATACCAGAAGACAAAAACTGGTTTTGCGGCTAATGAGACAAAAGGTCAATCATCACAATGGATTAGCAAAGGATCTTCACGTTCCAAGAAAGCACGATCCAATGTCAAAGTGTTGGTCATTGTTTTTTTCGACTTAGAATGGTGAATTTTGAATTCTTGCCTCAAGGCGAAAAACTCCCGCAAAAAGAGACCAGCAAATACTTTAAGAGCCATTTCAAATGAAGCGAACGGAGACACCTCTAGGAAAGGTGTATGAATAGGAGAGGAGAGCACTTTGAAGGGTACAACGAGCAATAATGTATAAAATTAATAATAAAATTCAAAAAAATAAAATTCGATTATTTTCTGAACAGTCGTCGTATTTACTTACCATTCTCTTTAGATTGATTCCTCTTGGTTGTCCAGAAACCTGTCCATTAGCAATACGTTTTCTCAATTCATTGTGTTTGTTAACAATGGTTTCTTTGTCTTTCTCAGTGACGCCATATTCTGGATTGCAAATGGTAAACTTTGTCAATATATTTTTGAAAATTACACAAATGTGGCGGTAGAAAATAACGAAACGATCGTATATTATTTTTTAAGAATATTTTTTTTATTAATTAAGATATTCAAATAATACATACCATAAACGCTACAAGCGTAGACATATTGCATTGTAATGACCAATAAAGAGCACAATAAAATGGCCTTCATTTTTGAAAATATCGTAATTGACTGTAAAATTTATTGACTATTTTGCAGTTATATATATATATACACTAATTTACTTATGAATATCACAAAAGGCGATAACAAGTAAAAATTTTAAGTAGGTAATAATTGTATGATAACTATTATTTCCATTTACACATATATAGCGTGACAAAACGACGTTCAGTTTTTTGTACAAAAAGTACAGATACCATTTGCATAAGGTACACTGATCATGAGGGCCAACAGTTTTACGAGAAGTTAGGCAGTCCGTTTAAAGTCGTCAGATCTAAGAAGGCGTGTCTTAGAAAGAGCTAATTTGTTGCTTAAAATGCGTAATCTATGAGATGACGGTCTATAAACTCACAATTTATGAGCAAGCGCCAGACCTTAATTTGACTTATCTGATAAGTTAGTTTATAAAACCAATGTCCTTTGTTTGGTATTTCTTGATTGATTCACAAACAAAACGTTTTAATGCTAAAAGAGATAGTTATCGTAGCTGTAAAATAAAAAACCAAATAGCAAATTCGAACTACAATAAAAATGCAAAAAACGTTTTTCTTTATTACATTATTGGAACAAATATTTGTGACAATCTCATTAAAGCCATTCAGTGAGCGAAACACCTACTCCAGGATATGCTCCGATTGGCCTACATTACACCTCTAATATCTAGTAAATAGCCAAGATCAGTTGTCAGGAGAACCATATACCGGTTTCGAACTTATTAGTTCCCGTCGGTATGTCATAGGTGAGACAATAGACGAACGATTTAGCTACTCGTATTTGGATGTCTACCTACAGATGTTTTGAGTGTTGATGAGATAACCTATAAAGTATACGTCATATGTCACATCTTAATTATCATCGCACTTATTGGCACAAAGCGGTAACTCGTAATATATTTAAGAGTTTGGCCCAAAGTAATAGGCATTAAGTAGCAATGACATTTAAGATGAGACGTATGACGTGCTTGATAGGTTATATCTCAACCACACTCATTAAGAGCATAATGACGAAGGTTTCCTTTTTCCAGAAAAATAGGCAATCATAATATTTTTAGATATATGATTTACCATCTCTTATACACCATTTTTTTGAATCTCTTATAAAGGATACCATACCGCTTATCCATATTTCCTCAGCAAATCTAGCGTAGGTTTCTTTGGAGCGAGAATGTTAATAATATTATATTTACTTGAGATTTCAGTTAATCTCATCTAATTGACCAATCAGCATTCAGAATAACGATATAGCTGAAACGTCAGGTAAATAAAACACGGTTAAAATAAACGCGCTTAGTTACTGTGGCAACGCAATGTTTTTCTTAAATACGAGGGTCCTAGAACTATTGTGACATGTGCACAAAAGTTTGTTTATGGTACTTCATGCTGTTTTATGTTGCGTGTTATAAATCTCTTTTTTGCACTAAATACAGAAATAACTAATTACTTAATTTGTGTTCGAAGATAGTATGAAGAGACATATATACCAGTTTGACCGGTTTACACAAAGTATAAATACTATGTTTTATTTTAATATTTATACACCTTACTGTGCCTTTAACACGGTGTAGATTATTTCCATAATTGTTCACATATTTCTTGGTACATAATCATATTTCGCTTCCCATTATTTTGAAAATATTACGGGACAGATAACACTTTCAAGGTCTTGGGAATTAATATAATTTATGCAACAATTTTCTATATCAGAATTATTTTTTTAAAGGTAAAAATTAAACTCGATATATTTGGTGAGTACTTTTATTGACAAAATAATGAATGAAATACAAAAATATAGATCTAAGCTACTAGAAAAATCTATTAAAAAACAATCCTATATAAATTTCCTTAAACTTAAACTGACAGCCATTTATTCATCATCATCGCTTTCCATCACTCTGCTTCTTTTACCAGTAGGTTTCTCCGAATCTGAATTAGAAGCAGATCTAAGTCTTTTTCCATCACCTTGGCCTGCCTCTGTGTTGGCACTATTATCACCTTCCTCTTCACTGTCGCTTTCTATTATATTTCTACCTCTACTAACATTTGTATTACTTTCAATATCAGTTTCTTCCACTTGCTCGTTCATATCTGCATCTTCCACTTGCTCGTTCATATCCGCATCTTCGTCTTCTTCATCACTATCCATTATCCTTCTAGTTTTCCTTTTCTGGAAACTAGTATCAGCTGTTTCAGAATGGGATTTATTTTCCTCTTCACTGTCGCTTTCTATTATATTTCTACCTGTACTAACATTTGTATTACTTTCAATATCAGTTTCTTCCACTTGCTCGTTCATATCCGCATCTTCGTCTTCATCATCACTGTCCATTATCCTTCTAGTTTTCCTTTTCTGGAAACTAGTATCAGCTGTTTCAGAATGGGATTTATTTTCTTCATTTTCTATATCCGCAGTTCCGAATTCGGCGTTTTCGTCTTCTTCATCGCTGTCCATTATTCTTCTAGCTTTATTTTTCTGAAAACTAGTTTCAGCTGCTTCAGTGTCAGAATTATTTTTATTTTTTGTACTTGTAGTTTCAATTTCGACATTTTCATTGGAAGCACCAGCATTTTTCTGAGGATGACTGTTTCTTAGTTTATCGAAAATGGAATCATCGTCGCTAGAATCGTCGTTTTGTGGTTGTCTCACAATTTCTCTGGTTTTGGATCTACTCTTTTTCAATTTGTCAAATGCATCATCAATAGTGGATTCCTCATTTCTTGGCGGTTGCGTCATTCCCCTTAACTTATCAAATATATCTTCATCGTCGTCAGATTCGTCGTTCTGATTTGTATTCGCTTCAGTATCCTCTTCGAGTGTGAGAGTTTTATCCAGCGCTTCTTGAAGTAAGGTGCAGTAGCTGTTGAGGGTGGATGCTGTGAGATGCCCAGGAATACGCCAATAAGCTTCCTGGAACAAGAGAAATATAATTTGAAATTTACTACACTTTTGAATTGAGGTTAGGTATTCTGCTAACATCACATCAACATTGATAGGTATTAAAGAATAATGTAGATTTGTAGAATAATCTGTTAAATAACAAAGAATATTATTTTAAAAACAAATTAGTCAAATCTATCGGGTTGCTGGAGAATTAATTTTAATAACAGAAATAAAACAAAGAGGGCCGCACGCCACATGAAAAATTACTGCAACACACATTCAATTACCGACGGAACGCTCTCTATACTACGGAAAATAAATCACCAGTTATTAATACCGCGCGAGGTGAAGAATAATTTATACTATAGGGCTTAATGTAATGTAACTCGTCCTTTTGTAGGGGACCTATTACTCACGGGTAATTATCAACGCGACACTTCATAGTTATAGTTCTCGGCTCATAAATCACCCGGTACTGATGGGTGCCACAATTGCATGATTAATCGGTATATTACTCACTGGCGGGAACGATTTCGTTCTTTGTCAAACGGATTTATTGTGTTTTAATTACTGCCCAAGTACCGTGATAATTATAGGGAGTTCATTCATACCGCGTTGAATATAGTTTGTGAGCGTTGGTATATCTGAGGATTCAGAAAAATTGGAAAGTGTGGTAAATTTTAAATGTTTAAAACAGGATGTTTTGATGCTGATTTCAATATCTATAAAAAGAAGATAAAATAGTAAAAATATAGTCTAAAAGTTTAACATATTTTAGCCATTGTTGCGTTCATATGAATGTTGCAGAGTTGCATTGTATGCAATAAATAAAAGTAACTCAAAATTTCAAGTTGTCAATGTCATAAAAAGTAATTTAACGAAATGAATGTATTTTTAAATATTAGGATGCGAGTGTCAACCTAAATTTTGTCTGTAACCAAGGGTTGTCAGTAAACAAACAATATTTTTTGAGTTGCAATCACGTTGAAATCCTAAAACCAAGACTGAAAAAATGGAAAATGTGGAAATTCCATCTGAAATTTTAGAAAAACCTAAAGCGGCTACTGCAGGCATCATTCCGGAGAAATCAGAATCCATATACAACAATGAACTGAAGGAATTTCAAGATTAGAAAATCAAAGAAGGGGTGAAACTCGGTGAAAGGCGTAAATGAAGATGTCTTGCTGGTTTATTTTTTCAATTTAAGTGAGAAACTAACTCCATCCACATTGTGGGCTAAATATTCCATGTTGAAGTCAACTTTGAGAGTTTACAAGAACATTGAAATTTCTAAATTCGGAAGACTAGTGGCATTTCTAAAGTCTAAGCACAAATATTTTTAACCAAAAAAATCCAAGGTCTTAGAAAGAAAACAAATCGAACAATTTTTGCGTGAAGCCCTAGACAAAGATCATCTTATGAATAAGGTAGGTTCTACTGAGTAGTTTAACTGAGTTATATTTATTAAATTTGTTGTTTTTAGGTGGCGTTGATATTAGGAGTTTATGGCGCTTGCCGTTGCGAGGAATTGACCCATTTAAGCATAGGCAATATAGAGAACAAAGGGCAGTATATCCACATCATGATTTCAAATACTAAAACGAACAAACCAAGAAGCTTCGCTGTGTTAAACAAATGATTTTGTGTTCATCTAATTGAATTAATTAGAAAATATTCTAAGCTAAGGCCTCAAAATGTGCAGCATAAAAGGTTCTTTTGCAATTTTCAAAAGGGAAAATGCATACGTGAATGTGTTGGTATTAATAAAATCCCTAATGTTATTGCGCGATTTTTGGGGTTGACATATACAGGGTCGGTAAATCCCCATGGTTCATCGGCCGTTACGTGAGAGCGATAAAGTAAGTCATAGAAATCCGTGCGATAGAGAAAGATGGCTATAATGAAGGCGTCTAATAGTCACCGCCCATTTCGCCCTTCCACAAATAAGAAGTGGATCTTATACTGGGTTGGTACTTCTGAACTTCACGAAGAAATTGACGAAAATTAGAACATGCTCTAATTTGTCAAGAACTTGATGAATAAATTCATGAAGTTATTTGACAGCAGATTTGGTGCATTACACTTGTCCAATTTCTTGATGAAGCGACTTCATGAATTGATTTATCAATAAATTGTCAATGTAAAACAGCTATCATTAAATTTAGATTTTACATTTTAATAAAAAAGTGTAAGGATTTTAAGTCAGTAATCATTACTATTCGAGTGTGTATTGAGTATAAAAGTGGAACATGATTATAACCTAAAAAGTCATGGATGAAATGTATGCCATTGTTTCTTACAAACAACAATGCCATTAACTATTTATGAGTAATTAAAATTAGTACGTTTTTTACGGAAAAAAATACTGGGAACAATATTATTCGAGTACCTGTTCGTCAAAAGGTTGACATATGCCAAACGCTTTCAGCATCCGCTGAAATTCGACGTTCTCCATAGCGGCTTCCGCATAGTCCATTATTGGAACTAACGGGATCCCCTCGTTGCTTCCGTCCTCGAAGTCTTCGATTGCATCCGACAGGCTCTCCTTGAACCAACCAAGGGCCTCTTCTAAACCTTCAACACAAACAGAATCTCGTCAAATAAGGAAATATTATTACTTACAAGAATGCAATTACGAGAAACGTTAATTAACGTTAATATTTCGACAATTCCACGATTCAGTTTCACTTGAAAATTAAAGGATATTTCTCTGCAAAACAAAATCTCATTAAGCACATACCTGTTTCCATGGCATTCAAAAGATGCCTCACTAACTCAGCCTTGGAAGCTTGGACGTGAGTGTTTTGCTGTTTCTTTTTGGTCGACTTTTTCCTGGAAGTTGTTGTGGAATTCTTATTCGCGGCGCGTCGAGGCGCCGCGCCCGCCGTAGACGTCGACGCCGTTTGGGGGAGATCGGAATTGTCCTCGGATAAGCTGCTGTTTCCGGTGTCGTCGTCTTCGTCGCTAGGTGTCTGGTGCGCTTTTGCTGAAAATAAAACGCCAACGTAAGAATGAATAAAAAAGAAATTATTGTACAAATGCTTCAATGAAGGAATACCACACCACTTATAAGATCTGATGCTTTATTGTTGTACAGGGTGAATGTTAAATGCGAAATTGTAGTGAGTCAATTTTTTAAATTGTAAATAGTTACAGAGGTATTTTATTTTATTTTCTATTTATTTTATAAGTACACTTTTGTCCACATGGAATATAATCAATACCCTGTGCGCTGCTGGTTGTCGAACTGATCTAGAGTTCGGGAGGCGCGGCTCTTGACAAAGTCGTACTCGACTCATTCTATAAGCATTCAGCTTGTGTATTTCAAAATGTATACAATGTGTTCCAATGAGATCTTTTGATATATTTTTTTAAATTCATATTCACAAAGATTATAATTAGCGAAAACGGAGCTCGGGAAGACGCATGGAAGTCATGTTGTGACGTCATACCACTGGCTAGCGAATATAGATCATATGATGTCTCTAATTTGGAAGCAGACAAAAGCAAACAAATTTTTATAGTGAAAGAAGTTTGACTTTTCAAAACGTTAACTAACTATAATTGTAGACCTTTGTGTAAGAATCAAATGAGCGCCAATATTTAAATTGAATTTTAAGTTGGTATTTTTGTTGTCATATCATTTGGCTAAGTAACATTCGCATCTAATTTAAAGTGAAATATTCGCATAAATAATTATGATATGTCCAAAATATAATTTATAGTTTATTATGAACAAGAAGCCTTCTAAGTCGAAAGTGATGTCTTGCGCAAAGCGTTACGAAACTTGTAATCTGGGTGGTAATGATAGTGCTTCTTTAAAAAAAAAAATGCAATTTTCGCTGACCCACCGCTAGTTTTGTTGAACATCTACCAATGAAAATCGATTAATTAGTCGGCCTCCCCTTTCCAACTCGCCCTTTTTGTGCGAAAATGGAGCCGGCCATCCATTCCGTTTCATTATTCATTTTAATATCGGCGTTTACTATTCCCAAAAACAATGCCGGGGAAAAACTGGCCGGTGTGGGTGGCGTCGGGGATTCGTCGCCCTGTGGACGGCACTGTTGCTGTTTGCAGATAAGCCCCATAATTTACTATTTATTTCACGTGACGGGTAGACAGCGCGCTGGGAATATGTCCTTTGTGTAGGCTATTTTGAGTACGACTTTGTGGGGTTTTGTAACGCGTACACGATATATTATAACGAGGATTTTCGTTTTTTTTAGTGAGTTTTAAATATACATGGATTAAAGATAAAGTGAAATCAACAAAAATTATTTTATGCATGACCTTTCCTGCTAAGAAAGATAAACAGGATGATATTACTAAAATAAAGATTTTACTATACACCTGATGAATATTGACAATAATTTTCTTTTTGGCTTTTCTAAATAAGTATTTTATTATTAGCTCTCACTTTATAATGGTGTTACTATAATAATTCAATTACGTTCAATAGAACATTATTTGACTTCATTCGATAAAATTTTATAGGATTTAAATTTTCTTATTCTTTTTTGTATAGTAGTGGTTCCTTGTGGAACTGTACAAATGCCTGCTATTTGTTTCTGTTCCCAAAAATCCTGCTTTGGAAAATTTCATTAATTTTCAAATGGAACGATTCCTACTATTTATTTTAGCAAGTGCGAAGCTAAATGCTGTAAAACATCCAAATGGATCCCTTTATTAGAGCATTAGGAGACGACTTTAATAGGATTAGTGACAACTTTATCTTCTTCCTAATAATTACACCAGATCATGCGAACTTATCAGGATGGTGTAAAATTTTACGGCCCTTAAAATTACCATATTATAAAGGAATAACAGCCAAGATGAGAAGGAAATGGACGATAAAATATCGAATTATTCAATTATTAAATAATGTACCGGGATAGTCAGAAGAGACGAATAATTTTTAACTGTTAATAAAATATAATTACTATTTTGTATTATGAATTCCAATATGAAGCCCTAGATAAAAAACAATAAGAAGATCAAGGGCCAATAATTAAAAAATATAACTATATATGACTGTAAATAATACAAGAGAGACTTGTATATTCCATAAAAAAACAATCGGACAGAGACAAATTCCTGCACAATAAACAACTCGGTACGTGTTTCCGACCTAGGCTAACTTGTTCAGATCACTAACCTTCTAACCCACTTTTGATTTGCACGTGCACTATGACTAGTACTCGGACAAGACGAAACAAACATTTTTGTCTCGATATATGATAAATAGATATTTTACCTTAAATATTGTGATCACAATTGTTATTTGTTCATTAATGTTAATGCTAAAACAACAAATGAATAGGGATGATTGCTTTGGAATGTACGGTTATTACAATTTATCATTTTTAATATTATCAACGTTTTCACGTTTTATAATTTATTACGTTAAATAATACACAGTTTTAGTATTATGTTCAATTTATTATTCAATATGCAGTTGCGTATAACCAAAGTTTACATAATAAATGTAAACTTTAGTGTACATGTAAACTTTGGTGTAACCTAGGTAGGTACTTATTGTTTTGAGAAAGTAATATGTTTTTTACCTGTTTAAAATGCCAGCACGAGTAAAACAGCATTCATCCGTCCAGAGCACTTTGTTAATAAAGTTAGGTTCTGCTGCACTTCGATTTAGGAACCAATTGCAAAATTCAAGACGATTGGGGAAATCAGCTGGTTCTAAAGCTTGAACTTTTTGAAAATGGTACGGGTTGAGTGAATTCTCTCGCAATATCCGTCAAACTTTGGTTTGTGATATCTCCAATCGCCTCAAAATTGTTCTTGTGGAAATAGTAGGCTGCTCCTCGACTAAATTTAAAACAGCCTCTATCACATTAAGTCATTTTGTCGATGTCCTGCACGTTCTCTGCGCGGTATGATAGACCCGTGTCACGAAGACGTTGGACGGCTTGCACAATTGTCCGCGGGCTTGGGACAGCGGCATTTGCGTTCTGTACACACTCTCCGTATAAAATCACCATATCCAGATATTCGGCATTCGTATACAAAGCCATCACGACCGACACTTGAAATAATCCGAAATAAACTAACGATTTCGAGTGTCTTTCCAATCCACATCCCTTCTCCATCTGTATGGTGTGATTTTCACTCCTTTGCAGGAAAAATGCGGGATATAGAGAGTGGTAGATTTGAATAAATGCCTACAATTCATGCATTTGTTATACATGAATATTACAGTGGCGGCGTACACAAGAATTAAAGTGCATTTTAAAAAACTCGACTATTTACTTAATTAAAAAAAAGAATTTCAGATTCGTATTCAGGGGAACACCCCTAAAAGACTGACCCCCACTTAAATTTACACCCTGTATAGTTTCCATGTTTCTTGTCCCCCTGTGTGAAAATAACCAGTAATCTAGAGCGTAATTTTTGAAAGTGTAGGCGTCTGTATGCTTGCGTCTCAATGTCCCGGAAAAAAATTATATCCTATTGAATTACCCTCCCCTATTATACGCCCTCGCGAAAAAATCGATACGGCCCCGATCCACAGATATGAAGTTGTACGGGCGCGGGGCCATTGTCAGCGACGGTAGAGGATTAACTCGGCCGACAGGGGCCGGATTGTCCTCTCCCGAAATCATTTATCTTTCGTCCGCCCCCCCGCAGCGGAATTCACTTTTACTTGTATTGTGGCGCCTCTTGTTAGGCGCAAAAACTTTTATGCGACGGCAATTGGGGTGCAAGAGTCTATGTAAACGATCCCGAACACACGCCAGAGATTAATGGTGCGGGGAAATCTCCAGGAGAGATCGTCAGGTCCCGAGCTGAATTAGAATGTCATCCCGGTTGTTCTCCGGGAGCCTTAAGAAGTTCGGGTGACAAATCGGGCCAACTTCGCTAAATATACGCGGGACAATCGGCGAACTTTGCGAAAGTTCTGCTGTGAGAGCGGACGACCATTCTTTCTCATGTAAATATTTCGGGGAGGACGGGGCCTGACAAGGAACCCGGGGAGTTAATAAAACTTTTAAAGTCGTCTGGTTTACAGGTTTTTTTATTGGGAACGTGGCAGCAGTCAGACAAGTAGTAAGCAATAAAATGTACTAATTCGATTAAAGTTATATGTTATATACATGATATACACTTTCCTATACAGTTTCAACACCTTACGGAACATTTGAAATAGAAAGACAGCTATATAGTAAGTTAAGTTACAAAAACCGAAAAGTGGTGTTTTCGAGGTCGATTCAAGTAGATTCCAGATTCCTGGAAGCTTCTAGAAACCTTCAAAACACTATTCTTGGTTATGTAATATTTTGTTTGTATATTCATATTATTTCTAACTTTTATTACCTGTCAAAGTTTGCCATGTGCGGCGTGAAAATAGTTTGGTTATTGAGGTTATAAACTAAATGGTACTTACAGTGTGCTTACTTCATAGAGAATCTGTGACTTTCCAACCTTCTTTACAACAGATCTTAACAAAGTTATACCGCGATCATCCTCAGCCTCCTCGGGGCCGCAACTTATATATTTCAACAAGTCCGAACCCGGGGCCCGATTATTACGTACGGCGCGCTGGGAATGCCCTCGAGAAGAATGCGGCCGCCCCCCCATCCGGCCTAAGTGGAAATAAATTACGCACGCCAGCCGGTCGGCGGGCGCCCCCCAGGCCGCCCCGCACGCCGAACTTTTGCGTTCTGCCGTAATTTATACTCATAAATTATTGACTTACGTTTAATTTGAGTTAAATGGAGGGACCGTCTGCTGTGATGTCGGCCGCCGACGTGCGGGTTCCGCGAACAAAGGCAAAGGGCGAATCGATGGCGGAGCGGCGAGGAAAAATTGAAAATGCAAATGAAATATTAAAGCGATAGTGTGGGCGTTTCCAGAAATCTGGTATTTCTGGCACAGAAAAGCTCTTGGAATATTGGATTAGTAGCCAGAATGTTCTACAAAACGTTTCTTTTTTTAAAATTATATTAAGAAATATGATTTACAATTATA